TTTATCCGGTTCCAGCCTACCCACTTTGATGTTTCCGGGTTTTTCGGTTCTAGACCCACTTTATCCGGAACCGAACCGGAACCGATTCCTATATACCGGTCTGGTTTCCGGTTCTACAAAATCCTGTTAACCGGTTCTGGGTTTTCCGGGTCCGGGTCCATCCGGTCCGGGTTTGGACCCACTTTCATCCCTATGAGTGGTGCTTGAGTCTTGAAACTCAACAGATTATTTATCTCGTCATGTCACTTTTGACAAATCGGTTTTCCCCTTCGGGTCCATGCATCTGATCTAGAAATTGATGGTGTTATTCTTTTATCTCATTAAACAGCCGAGAGGCTTAAATAGATACAAGAGGAAACAAAACTAACGGAAACAAAGGAGAGGATAATGACAAAATTATAGAGGATAAACATTCAAGAAATATGTTATATTCTATACTCCCCCTCAAGATGGAGCATGTAAGTTGACAATGCTCATCTTGCCAAGTAAGAACCTGAGCTGGTTAGTATTAAGTCCCTTCGTCAACAAGTCAGCAACCTGCATCTTACTGTCAATACGCATCGGAAGAATCTCCTTGGAAACAACTCTTTCAAGGACGAAGAAACAGTCCATCTCCACATGTTTCGTTCGCTCGTGAAAAACAGGATTATTAGCTATATGTCTAGCTGCTTGGTTGTCACAGAAAAGCGTTGTCGGCGTATCAAAGTGAACTTGCAAATCTTTAAGGAGCCATCGAACCCACAAGATTTCACTAACAGTAGAAGCCATGGCCCGATATTCTGCTTCAGCAGAGGATCGTGAAACGACAGTTTGCTTCTTAGTCTTCCACGAGATTAGAGCACCACCGAGCATTAGTAAGTAACCGGTTCGAGACCGCCTTGTGTACGAACACCCAAGCCAGTCTGAATCACAAAAAGCAGTCAAAACCGGGTCTCCATCTTCAGGAAGTAAAATCCCTTGACCTGCTGTTCCTTTCAGATACCGTAAGACGTGATTCGCAGCCTCCATATGACTTTGTTTCGGATCAGCAACAAACTGACTCAATGCATTGACGACATAGGTGACATCAGGTCGAGTAGCCTGTAGGTAAAGCATGCGACCTATGAGACGTCGATACTGACTCGCATCAACCTTTGGTTCATCTTGTCCTTGGCTAAGCTTTAAGTTTTGCTCAATAGGAAAAGAGCTAGGTTTGCATCCTAACATTCCGCTGTCTGTAAGAATGTCCATGACATATTTCCTTTGACTCAAAACTAAACCATCTTGAGTGTGTGCAACTTTTATACAAGAAAATATTTCAACTTTCCTAGGTCTTTGATGCCAAATGCTTCATTGAGTTGTTTCTTTGTTTGTTGGATTAGCTCGAAATTGTTGCCGACTATAATGACATCATCCACATAGATAAGAATGGCCATGTAATTCTCATTCTTATTTTGCAGAAACAATGAGTGATCTGCCTTTGGCTGTTGAAAGTTCAACGTTAAAAGGAACTTAGTGAATTTGTGATACCAGTTTCTTGAGGCTTGCTTTAAGCCGTAAAGAGATTTTTGTAGGCGGCAAACACGCGTCTCATTCTCCCTTGAAAAGCCTTGTGGAATTTTCATGTACACTTCCTCCTCTAACTCCCCATGCAAAAAGGCATTGTTCACATCGAGTTGATGAACAATCCAGTTTTTCTTTGCAGCGACTGCCAAAAGGGTTCGAACTGTCACCAGCTTCGCCACTGGTGCAAAAGTATCGTGATAGTCCACTCCTTCCATTTGGGTGAAGCCTTTAGCAACTAATTGAGCCTTGTATCGCTCCACTTCTCCGTTAGGTTTATATTTGATCTTGTAAACCCATTTCGAGTCAATATCTCACTTTCCTGGAGGTAGGTTAGTTAAGAACCAAGTGTCGTTTTGTTCAAGAGCTTGTACCTCGTTTTTCATTGCTTCTTGCCATCGTGGATCATGTGATGCTTGCTTAAACGTTTTTGGCTCATCATTTGAAGTAATGGCCGACAAGTAAGCTTTATGTGAATTAGAAAAACCTTCATAAGAGACACAATTAGAGATTGGGTATACCGTAGAGGATTCCTGATCTGGAGCGGGTTGTTGGTGTACGAAGGAAGGGGGAAGCTTCACCAAATAATCTTTGAATTTTTGTGGCTGGGTTTTCATTCGAGTACTCCTGATTCGACCATCAGCTTCTATGTCATAACTGTGCTGATCCAAAGCATCGTTGGACTCTGGTTGAGTTTCTGGCCCAACCTCATCTACATGATCCATCGTTTCAACTGGGCCGGTACCGTCGTTATGGCTAAATTGGGTCGTATCTCTTGTCTGATTGCCATGCTCCTGTTCAGAAGGAAGTCTCATTTTCGTTTTCTGGTTCAACTCTATCTTCTGGCTGTATGGGCTCATGTAAGGGTTGATGCATGTTCGAACTATCGTATCCACACTTCACCGGTTGCTCATCATCATCGCATGTTTGGATATTAATTTCTTTTAAAGGAAAAACACCTTCATTAAATAAAACGTCTCTACTAACCACAATTCTTTTGTCTTTGACGTCATACACTTTGTAGCCTTTGACACCTTGAGGGTAACCCAAAAATATTCCAGGTTTGCCCTTTTCTTCAAACTTTTCGCCCTTTGTGTTCATGTTCTTGTAATACACTAAACAACCAAAAAACCTTCATGTGGTCACACTGTGGTTTTTGATTCCAGACAAGCTCATAAGGTGTTTTGTTCTTGATAACCTTCGATGGAAGACGGTTAATCATGTATGCAGCGGCAAGAATACACTCACCCCAAAACCTTTTAGGTATGTTAGCCTCAAAACAGATTGCACAGACCGTTTCAAGGAGGTGCCGATGTTTTCTTTCCACGACTCCGTTTTGTTGTGGAGTGTGGGGGCAAGTTGTCTCAAGGAGAATTCCTTCTTGGCTGTAAAATTGATGCATGGAGTTGGAGGTGAACTCTCCACCATTATCACATCTAATCTTCTTGATGCATTTTCCAAATTGGACCTTTATCATCTTGTGAAAATTCATGAGACACCTACTTGCATCACTTTTATGTTTAATAAGAAACACCTACACAGCTCTACTAAAATCATCAACTATTGTGAGAAAGTAGCTTGCTTTTGTATATGAGGGTATTTGATACCCACCCCAAATGTCATAATGAATAAGATCAAAATTGAAGTTGTTTTATTGATGCTAATGGGAAAAGGTGTCCTGGCTAATTTTGCATTTGCACAAGAATCACAAATTATATTACTAAAAACAACTGGACTGCCTTTAATAAAATCAATCTTTGAGAGCTTTCCCTTCGAAGCATGACCCAACCTTTTGTGTCAAGTGTCGGTAAACATCAGCATTGCTTTTCTTTCCTTGACCATGCTCATATGGTACAGCCCCCCTTCACGTCTACCCGCTCCAATCAAGTTCTTCATACGAAGTCCCTGCATGACACATAAATTGGGAAAGAAAGTTACAACACACTGCAGGTCGTTAGTTATTCGACTCACCGAAAGAAGGTTGCATTTAAAATTTGGTACACACAAGACCCCATTGAGCTTAACTTCCCCTGTGAGTGTACAATCTCCTTTTCCTCTAACAGGAATGGACTCACCATTAGGTATGCCAACAGGTCTTTCAAAGGGAGTAATTTTTTTATTTTCAAGTATATCAGAAAGATATGTTATGTGTTCAGTGCATCCGGAATCAATAACCCAGTGATCATTACATCCTTTACCTGCCATGTTTGCCTTTGGTCCTACCGACTCGTTGCTGGTGGAGAAATGCTTCACGAACAACTGATATTGTTCGTTGGTTAATTCCGGTATAGGACTGCCCTCCGTCTCCGTGCAAGCAGCCCTTGGCTTGTTTTTCTCTCCTTTCTTTCCTGGCCACCACTCCGGGTAACCGATAAGTTTGAAACATCCATCTCGTTTGTGCCCGTTTCTAATGCAGAACGTGCATTGTTCATCTTCCTTCTTTTCTTTGTTCTCCTTGAAGCTTTTCTGAAAAATTCTTTTCCTTTGGCGGGGTTGAAGTTGGTGCTCTTTCCTTGGAACGCCTTGAAAGCAGCAGGTTCGGGTGGTGCTCTCTTGTCGTTGGAGATAGTTCTTTGTCTTTCATCTTCTGCAACCAAGTGATAGACAGTGGCCAAGGATGGTGTGGGCTTTGTTGCAAGGATCTGTGTTTTGATCACTGCAAATTCCGCATCGAGTCCCATGAGGAATTTGTATAAGCGTTCTTTCTCCTGGAACTCGTTTATTTCTTTTCCAACGTTGCATGAGCACCCGTCACAAGAGCACTTGGGGAAAGGTAGAATCGACGAGACTTCATCCCAAAGAGTACGAAGGCCCGTATAATAAATGGAAACGGAGGTTCCATCTTGTCTCGTCGAAGCAATTTTCTATTTGAGTTCATAAGCTCTAGGAGAGTTTTCCTTGCCAAATCGTTCACGTAGATCAACCCACATATGAGACGCAGTGTTGGCGTATTTGACGTTGTCCTGGATATGCTTTTCCATGGCTGCGGTGAGCCATCCTTTCACCATGGCGTCACACCTCATCCATAACATGTAATCCTTGGCTCCCTTTTCTGGCTTCTTAATGGTCCCATCGACAAATTCGAATTTATTCTTGGCGAAGAGGAAGTTTTCCATCTCTTGTGACCAATCTACATAGTTGGAATCTGTGAGTACTTCATTAACATGAATCTGTTTGGGGACGTCAGACGGGTGAAGGTAGAATGGAGAGTTATGATCAATCGAGGAGCTGGAGCCTTCTCCGATTTTGTCTTTTGGATCGGATCCTGTCATCCTAGAGGAAGAACAGGTTTATTTAGGGTTTTGAGTTCGCTCTGATACCATCTAGAAATTGATGGTGTTATTCTTTTATCTCATTAAACAGCCGAGAGGCTTAAATAGATACAAGAGGAAACAAAACTAACGGAAACAAAGGAGAGGATAATGACTAAAATTATAGAGGATAAACATTCAAGAAATATGCTATATTCTATATCCGACTCCACACCGTCCTATGAGTTTCTTGAGATTATTGATGGCACCAATCATCTCTCTCAACTGTTTCGCCAGACTCCTGTCATTCCTGCTACCACTCAAACTGTCGAGGAGGTCATCCCGGCTTCCAAAGCTGACATATCTCCCTCCACATCCGTTGCTAGCTCTCTCCCCACTAATGATTCAGTTCACACTAATGCCCCTCATCTCATTAATCAATCGCAATAAATACAAGATACAAATTGGACCAGGCCTAATACATTGTAAATACACTAGGCCATACAATACTAAATACATCATACAAGTATGTATACTAACAATGAGTTGTAGTATAAATACAACCATTTGGGACACACAAAAAAGGATCCAAACTCTCTTCTTCTCTGGTTTATCTTTTTTTTTTCTTGTTGTATCTAAGGTTTAATCAAAGCCTATTGAAGGTTCTGATGATCTAGAAGAACCACTTCACGCTGTTGTATTCTAGGAAACAAACACCTACTAGCGAACAAATTTGTTTTAAGGACATTGTGTTAAACACAGCCTCAACGGTTTCTAATTTCATGTTTGTTTTTCGTACATTTCTGTAATATAATTCCTACAAGGTGTTGCTTTTTCGTTTGAGTATAGGAAGTCTTTCATTTTTAAAATATTGTTGCGTTTTCGTTTAATTGGCTGATTTTTGAAACCGTAAAGCTAGAAAGAATTAGAATGTGTAAATGCAAAACCCAATTCAGCCTTTATCTGTAATTTTGTTTTGCTTATATTGTTGCCATTCCAACGAAAAAAAAATCGTAGGTCGGATAAAAGTTGATAAATTCAAGTGGGATGTTTAATAAAAACTCATCTCACGTACATAGAAAATAAGCAATATAAACATATTAACGAATTTCAATGGAGGAGTTTGTGAGAATATCTTCCGAGCTCCCGCATGGATAAAGTGTGAGAGATTTGAAGTCGTTTTAAAACCTTAAGCTGCAAATACGAATAACACCTACCATTTATTTAATATTCAACTAATTACTAATATATGCAATTTGTCTTAAAAAATAAAGAACAATATAATAAAATTAATATATTCAAAGGATTCAATAGCAGCCATGGGAGGTAGTTGTTCAAATAATACCATCAAAATTTAAATAAAAATATTAGACACATAATAAATAATACATATTTTTTTGAAAGCAGAAACCAAACGAAAGCGTGTGTAATCTTAAATAAAACATTAATAGAGTTGACAACCAAACACAATGGCTTAGGATATTGTACTTCATCGTACAGCTACCAAAAGCATATGGATGATAATAATAAATTATTATATTATACTAACACGATTTGTTGTATCATCTAAATGAGGAGGTATATCATAAATAAGTTAGTCTTTGGTAAGATATGGAATCGGGAAACAGTGAATTATTCTTTCTGTTAGAATGAAAAAAGAATAGTTGTTTTGCACTTTTGCAGCTTGATGGAACAAAATAGAATTGTCGTGTAAAATCATTATACATTCGTTTTTATAAATTTCCATCACTTCTCTATTGAAAAATATAATTTTGATGAAATCAATTTTTTTATTTAACTAAATTACAAAATTTCCTAAAATAACTTAAAATTATTGTATTTATTGAAACATATTTGAGTTTCTAGTTTCGATGGGTTTTCATTATGTTTCTATTCTGATTTTCACAAATAGAACTTTATTAATATAATTAAACTAATTTATAAAAAAGAGTTAAAAATTATACATATAAATCTATAACAATTCATATGAAAATTTATTTCAATCTTAATGGCTAATCAAACCGGGGCGGTTCTATGTGAGTGTCAGTAGTGACATCGACAATGCCTGTTTTTTCTGCATGCAGTGGAAATAATTTTGAATTTTTTTCTATTATTATATCAATAATTAAAAAAAATGTGCAACTACATAAAATAAAATGTATCCGCCCTTGAAATCAAACATGATCATAAAATATAATTATTTACTCCATGTTTACTAGATTACTTATAAATTCTATTTAGTCTTCATTCTATTTCATCCGTCTAAAGAGATCTGATCCTCTAATGACCAAGAGACTAATAAAATAACCCACAAGGGGGACATTAAACGAACACAAACATATAAATACATATTTTTTGTCTTCATGTTTGTTCAATATGAAAATAAGCTTATTTATTTGTGCTTGTTTATGTTCATAAAAAATGTAAAAAATCACAAAAACGCATATACGTTTGTAAATATGTTCATGTTCTTTTATTAAGTTCTTAATAACTCTTAGTTATGAATCTAAATAAAGAGATTACTAGGCGAAATCTTTGTTCATATATACGATTCATTTAATTAAATGAACATGAACTTTTATTGATTCCACTAAACCACTACAGATTACAGATTCCATACTAAAACATTTACTAAAAGAATTTAATAAGCTGACATTTTATATAAATATTAAAATAGTAGTTTATAACATTACGGTTACAAAATTAATTAAATTTTCATAGTAAAAAATCATAATTATTAATCAATTACTTTAAATAAATTATTAATTAAGAGATATACCAAAATTTTAAAGTTAGTTATAACTTCAAATTTAACATATAATTATAAAAAATTTAAAATCTATTATTTAAAACCTTAACATCATTAATTGTGATTGTGATTTACCTAATATATCTTCCTTGGTACAATATTAATAAGAAGATGTATTAGAATGACACATAATAAAGTTATTTTTTTATTAGTATATGGATACGGATATAATTTATAATTAAACATGTAAATACCACGGTTGTAGAGACCTTTGACCCTTGAATCCACGATACACAAATGCATTTATGATATTTTGCAAGATGTCACAATTTAGAAGCATGTTTTACTAATTCGAAAGTGTGATAATGACTTTTTTACCCTCCTTGATTTGTGGGACATGGATTTCTGCGACTTCATCCATCACCAACCATCTTTCCTTTGACCTCTCTCTCTCTCTCTCTCTCTCTCTCTCTCTCTCTCTCTCTCTCTCTCTCTCTCTCTCTCTCTCTCTCTCTCTCTCAATTTGTTGCTATTTTTAGCAAGACCAAAGTATAGACTAATCGTTACACACACGGACACGGTCGTTATAAATGTACACATTTATTTACTCGCTAAAAGGAGAAACTATATGCAACATTTGAACTCTATAAAGCGTATTCCACATTCTAAGCCTTTGAAATATCAAAAACGTGCTATCGGGTTGCTTTTATCGTTCACATAAACTCAAAATCAAACCCTCTTTTTTGAAAACCTTGATTTTATTAATTCCAGTCAAGCATATACGCCAATAAAGAATAAGTAAATGTTTTTACACGAATAAAGAACAAGTAAATGTTTCTTCTCTTCCGTATACGTGTTGTGTCGACTTGACATCAAGACAGTATCCCTTTATTCACGGTGGGTTCTTTTATATATAAGTGAAAAGAGGGAGGTTGGTCATCATCATCATCATCGTTTTCAAGAAGATTCAGAGATTGAAAAATCTTGCATTTTAGCCAGAAATCAAGAAACTTAAAGGAAAGTCTTTGGATAAAGCTCATATTGATTCAAGGTGAGTGACAGATAGCCCGTTTTCTTGTTCTGTTCTTTTAAGATTCTTAATGTTATTATTGATAGTTCTAAATTTCCTTTCTGGGATTGGTTTATACTGATTAAACACGTATTGGGTTTCTTTGAAACTAAGTTTTATGAATCTGCTACATGTTTTTTTAATCAAAATTTGAATCCATTAAGAAGAATGTTGTGTTGTTTTCCTCTGGTGGGGTTTGAACTTGGAGCAATCATTATGACTTTATTATGCAGAATATAGTGTTGTTATATGTTTCTGTGTGTTTTCCTCTTGTGGGGTTTGAACTCGGTGTATTTATTGATAATGTTTCAAGACTATTACATTATTTAGACAAAAAAGTTGTTTGTATGTGAAATTTTCAATCCTTTTGGCATATGCACTTGACATCTTTGTGTTCTTGAATAATAATAATTACATATCTTTTGAAAGTTTAATGATTACATCTCTTAAAATTTTAAACAAGTTTCTATCTATTTTCTGCAGAAATCTTGAATTTTGTTATGGGTTTGTCCTTATCATTGTTATCATCCGCCTGGGAAGAAATCTTGCATCATAGTTTCATAATCTTGCCTTATGAACTTGATAATGAATCGAACACCGATTGCTTCATAAAATCTGAATCCGATACACTATCAAATGAACCCAAAGATTCATATGTTGATCATAGTAGAAAAAAATCGATCAATTTGAAGAAGCGTGAACCCTTAAAGATAATGCTAGAAACCACGCTTTCTTTCAAGAATCTTGTTCAAGATTTTAAGAAACCCGAACCCAAAAACCCAAATCTTAAAACGGGTCGGTTGAGTTCTCCCGGGTCAACCATATTCTTTTCGCCCCGACCCGTTAGTGAACTCAATGCAGCTGCTACCACAGTTCAAAAAATATACAAAAGTTATCGAACCCGAAGAAATCTAGCGGATTGTGCTGTTGTTGTTGAGGAATTATGGTTAGTTTTCGGCTCCCATACAATCCATATTGTTTGAAATACAAGTTTGTTGCTATAGTGGTTAAAAAAAATTAGTTAAAGTTAAAAATTGGCCAACCTCCTATTAGCATTTTCCAAAATGGCAACTAAACTTTTTCTTACACAAAAAAAAAAAAAAAAAAAATCCCCTTTATTACCATTATGACATGTTATAGAATGTTTTTATGCTATTGTGACTGATTATAATAGATTTAACATTTTTTTTATATCACTATGACCGGTCATAGTAAGTGTAATTGGAAAATCTTTCTTAACTAAAACCCAAAAATTATTGTGGTTTGTGTATTTTGTAAAAGACAATAAATTACATTGCTATTTGACGCCATTTATTCCAAAATAAATCCAGCTATAGTTTGACTTTGACTCAAAACTTTTGACTCAAAACTTTAAACTTTAAAGTCGTAGTTTGTTTTTTTCTTTTTTTTAATGGGTGTTTTAAGTTAATTTGGTTTTTTTTTTTAATTGGGTGATGTGTTGTAGGTGGAAGGCTTTAGATTTTGCAAAGTTGGATCGGAGCTCCGTTTCGTTTTTCAATGGTGAGAAACCCGAAACTGCAAGTTCAAGGTGGGTCCGGGCTGGGACTAGAGCTGCTAAAGTTGGAAAGGGTCTATCCAAGAATGAAAAAGCCCAAAAATTGGCCTTACAACATTGGCTTGAAGCTGTGAGTACTTTCCCCACATTCTATCATTATTTCAAGATTTCTTCAAATGTTTCTATGGTGAAAATGGACGCAAAAGAAAGATACCAATGAAAATTTCAAGATTCTTTTGATAAATTGGTGTGAAAAACATGATTTTTTATGCCATTCTAAGGATTCTTGAAATGTTTTCAACCACGAAACGGGCTTTTCTTTTTATTTTACATAGAATTCTCGTTGGATATCCAATATAGACATTCATCTCTAACTCAAAATCCATTGTTAATTGGCCACCTGCAGATTGACCCACGCCATCGATATGGCCATAATTTACACATTTACTATGATATCTGGTTTGAGAGTGAAAGCAACCAGCCTTTCTTCTATTGGTAAGTCATCTTTTATTATAAATCATAAAAGTCATAGAAAAGTCTTAACTTTTATTATAAACCAAATGCCATTAGTGTGGTGTGTAACAAACATGGTCTAATGATTGAAGTTATTAAGATCCTTATGATGTTCTATTTTTGGAAATATAAAGGTTGGATGTTGGAGATGGCAAAGAAACAAATCTTGAAAAATGCCCGAGAGTCCGTTTACAACGACAATGTATCACATATTTAGGCCCCGTAAGTTTTTTTTTTCTTTATCATTTTCATTCAATGAATGTTTCTAAAAGACATTACATTCAACAGAAGGGAAAGGGAATCATACGAAGTTATAGTTGAAAATGGGAAGCTAGTTTATAGACAAACCGGTTTGTTTTTGGAAACAATAGAGGGTTCTAAATGGATCTTTGTTCTTAGCACATCAAAGAACTTGTACGTTGGACAAAAGAAGAAAGGCTTGTTTCAACATTCGAGTTTTCTATCCGGTGGTGCCACCACCGCTGCCGGAAGATTAGTCGCCCATGGCGGCATCCTCGAGGTACAAGTCCACAATGCATGAGGACATTACGTCTTTTGCATTTGTCATATGTTTTCCATATTGGTATTAACTTTTTAAGCATTTGTCATTTGTTTTTCAGGCTATTTGGCCTTATAGTGGTCACTACCTCCCAACAGAAGAGAACTTTAGAGACTTCATAACCTTCTTGGAGGAGAACAATGTTGATCTCACAAATGTCAAGGTACAAATTACCCTACATGCATCACTAACTTGTATACCAATGCATTAACGGGTTGTACTCTTAAAATCCGTTTCATTTTTCGGTTTTCTAATCCTCATTATCTTATGAATGCAGAAATGTTCTGTCGATGACGATGAAATGAGCTTCTCGTTTAAGTGCACCCAACCGGAAACAAAGCCTAAACCCCTTGTCATTCCACGAACAAGGCCGCAAGACATCCTATGTACAACTACTGATGCTGAGCGTACAACCACACCAAGCTTTATTCAAGGTCTAACCAACGGGCCTATTTCGGCCCACATGTCGTGCAAATGGGCCTCAGGAACAGGGGCCCGAATCGGTTGTGTGCGGGATTACCCAACTGAGTTACAGTTTCAGGCCCTTGAACAGGTTAACTTATCTCCTAGGACAGTTACAGGAAACTTTGGGCCTGTCCCGTCACCGAGACCAAGCCCAAAGGTCCGACTCTCTCCTAGGATTTCTTACATGGGACTTCCAAGTCCAAGGACCCCAATTGCTACCGCTAGCTAAGCTAACAGATTTGTTTGAGGTCCTTTTAGTTTTGACTTTTTTTTTTCACAAAGTTGATGGATCACGGATTTTACTTTAAAAAAGTTGAGATGCTCATATTCATTTATTTATTTTTGGAAAATATACTAAATTGTTTGGATAGTTTTGTTAAGCCCCAGTTTTGATCACTGCCCCTTTTATGCAGTTGGGTTTTTACCTTGTTAATTGGTTATTTCATCTCTTTGTAAAGAAAATACATTTCTTTCTATAATAAGGAAAATATAGTTTTTTGTTATTTTTAACTTGTATGGTGATGTGCAATAAAAAAAAAATCCATAAGGTACAAATTCTCAATGTATGATTAGGTATTAGCTGAGGGGCAATTTTGTTATTTTATTTGAAAACGAGTTATTCATGTCAGATTTCATTGATAATCGGCGAGGAGGATGAATTTGAATTTTTTAGTTAAAAGACTACTCGAAAAGTTTAGATGTTGAACAACATACGTATTTATAATTTACCACAATGAAAATTGTTTTATGGGATTTAAAGTCCCGAAACGTTGGTCTTATTTATAAATAAACCATTGATATTAGTTTTTAATAGAAAATAACAAAATACAAGTGATTGTTTAATCAAATAATCAAAGGGACAATAAACCATCACTCGTTTACACATTTGGGATTTTAGCTAGTAATCTTTGAAAAAATCGCTTGCTCATTAATGATAAAGTCATTGATTTTTTTTAACGGAAAAGACACAAAGTATTATCTTAATATAATCTTACCGTATTTTCTCACAAACATATTATCTTACTATAATGTTATTTTATTCTCTTGACTAAAGTTTTACGACATTATCTCTGTCATGTAGAGTTATATTAATGTAGTCTTATTGTTTTTTGTCTATCTGATAGAGAATACAATTTGACCGAGTCTTCACATATCTTCTCTGGTTGACAAAGACTATATTTTTTATTGTAATCTTATTGTATTCTTTCTATCTGATAGATAATATTATCTTACTATAATCTTATTATATTCTCCCTAGTTGAGAGATGATATTATATAAATGTAGTCTTATTGTGTTTTCTCTGTCTGACGGAGAATACTATTTTATTATAATCTTCATGTATTCTCCCTATTTGACAAAGGCTTATCTTTTATAATCTTACGGTATTCTTTCTATATGTTAGAGAACATTCTTTTACTGTAATCTTATTATATTCTCATTGGTTGACAGATGATATTACTCGACGATAATTTTACTATATTATCAACAGAAAGTATTATTTTATTATAATCTTACTGTATATTATATGTGTTTTTTACTGCAATTTTACCATAGTTTTTTGTTTGGCAGAGTATTATCTTAATATAATTTTATCATATTCTTTCTGTCTAACACGTTATTCTCAAGTTTAAAAATTAAGGATGGAAAAGAGAGAGGAAAGAAAGGAGAAGATATGGGAGGAGAAAGATGAGGGGATGGATGTGTTCTTGAGTTTAAGACAGAGGAAGGAATATCACTGTGTATAACATTTTTATCTCTAGAGGAAATTGCACAACAAATGGCCAAGTGTAAAAACATTTCTTTCCTTTCCTTCTCAATTTGTCCAAAAATGAGCTGATATAGACTTAACATTTTTCCTTCTTCCCTCTCCACCAATCTTCACCTCCAATCCTCTCCTCCCTTTCATCTCTCTCCTAAAAAAATTTGAGAACACCCTTTTCATTCTTAGTCCTCTCCTTTCTTTTACATTCTCACATAAAAAAAATAATAAAATAAAATAAACAAGCTCTAAGAGATGGTTTTATCTTATCGTAATCTTACTTTAATCTCTTTCTAGCAAAAGACTTATCTTACTGTATTCTCTCGGATGACAAATGATATTATCTTATTATAATTATATTGTATTATTTTTATTTGATATTGTAGTATTATTTTACCATAATCTTATTATATTCAATTTGTTTTACGAAGAATATTATCTTAATTATTATATTCTATTTGTTTAATGAAGAATATTATCTTATGGTAATCTTAATCATACTTTAGTCTATTTGTATGTTAGAGAGTATTATCTTTGATGTAATTGTATTGTATTCGAGTTTTGGGTTTTATATAATTAATCATTTCCTTAGATAATATTTTATTTTACACCCTAGTTATATTTAACCCTCAAATCTTTATTATTTTTTGATTCATTAATTTATTTCATTTTAATACCCAATAATAAATAGTGAATTTATAATGGTCATATAATATCTTTATCGTTTTTATTTTTATAATTTTGTACATAATAATTTTATCTTTAATTTTATAACAATATCAAATATAGACTCTAGATTTTACGTATTTATTTTATTTCATGTATTGTAATATATTTTTTATTAAGTATGGTCAATTAGTATTCCTATTAAAATATAAAACAATTGTTTGAAAATTAGCCAATTAAATAAGAAAGCTTCCTTAAAAAAGCTTTATTAAATATTTTACAAAGATAAAGATAATTTAGTTAATTTAAAAAATATCAATAATTGGAGATGGTTTATGATGAGATGTTTTTGTTAAATAAAACTAATAGAATGATTATTTATCAAAGCAAAAACACTATAAAAAAGTTAAAACTTGTAACTTGTAACTAGTCAAATGTCATGTTAAGGCTCAAGTCCAATTAAAGGACTCATTAAAGGTTTCAAGATTGGATCTGAGAGAGGTTGTAACTTGTAACTAGTCAAAGGGCAAGACTTTGACTGCCACTATATAATTTATAAGGTCTTTGTGCACCACTATATAACAATGTTTTTAAGATGCAATGAAACCAAATAAAACTATTCCTATTTATACATAACTCGGAGGGACAAAATGGTCAAAATGACCATAAACCTGGTTCAAACTGCTAGTTCTTTTTTTGTTTCTTCATTTTTTCTTTTTTAAGTCTAGTTTTCCTCATGGACCTTATTCAAACTGCTAGTTTTCCTGATGGACCATAAACGGCCGTGTTGGAAACAACCCTCATCTACGCTTGTTAAGGACGCTCACGCAAAATACAACGAAAGTATTGGGCATCAATGTTTTAAAACCCGGGTCGACCCGACCGGTTGGACCGTGACCCGGGGTAGAAGGCGGGTCAATTGAGAACGGTTTTTTGTAAAAATATGGACCGGATCGAACCGGCCGGGTTTCCTTAAACCGCGGTCGAACCGTTTATGTCGAACCAGTTAAAACCGGATTGACCCGTTTTGATAGGGCTTGGATCGATTAATTGATGCTTTCTTCTCCTATCGACTGTGAAGGTGATGGTTTTGGTTAGTTTACTAATTATTTATTGTTAATTGATCACTGTTTCAAGGTTTCTGATTGTGTAGATTATATAATTAGGATCCAATTAACATATGTTTATTGATTATAACATTGTTTTTCAATACACTTAAATATGGAATCAAGGGAAGAAGAACCATTACAAGCACAATCTATAACATGTTTTGATATTCTTTCAATATTTAAACTTTGAGGACATCAAATTATTGGTTTTATATGTCTATGTATTATGCAGAAAAATAAAAATATATGAAAAATAGAAAAAGACCATGAACCGGGTTGAATCGGTTGACCCGTGAACCGGTCATCACACCGGGTCAACTAAAAACCCGGCTTTTAAAACATTGTTGGACATATGCTTCTACTTCTGCTAAGTGCTAACCTCCTCCACCACTTTTTTGTTCTTTAACGTATTGCGATCAAAATGGACTAGTTTCTCACTACAATTCCACAATTTTATTCAAATACACTAAACGTAGATCTTCACGGAGCTTCGTGTTGGTAATAAATTTCGTCTAGGCCATAAGATTGGCAGTGGATCGTTTGGAGAGATCTATTTAGGTCTGTTAATCTCCAATTTTGCAGTTTCGTAGTTTTAACACATTAATCTATCACAATTTTTTTATAAAATTTAGAAAACGAAGGGCTCGGAAGGGAGATGATGACTTGAATGCTAAGTTCAGACGAATGAAGAAGATGCGATTAAGCTTGAGTTTAATTTTCATTCATTTATGTAACTTGTAAATGAAGGTTACTAGTTTTTGTATTTGACAAAACAGTAGTGAAAATGTTCTGAATGAATCATGTTAGCGTATTTGGGTTTATTGAGATGGATGAGGTAGCTTATTTGTTTTGCTCCATTAGCATAACTGCATAACCCCTTTTGGTGGAGCATAGAAGCTTAACAAGTATTGCTGATGCATTTTTGAAGTAAGAACTAAGGAGTGTTTAGGTTGCGTTTATTTACGGAAAAACAGTTTTCGTTTTTCGTTTTTCGCTTTTCGTTTTCCCTTTTCGGTTTTTGTTTTTCGTTTTCAGTTTTCATTAGAAAATTTAGAAAACACATTTAGTTAAAACTTATTCATTTTTCATTTTCAGTTTTAGAAAATTAGAAAACGCGTTTAAATGTGTATATTTCTATCGGTTTTCATTTTTACGAAAAGGGTAGCGGTGGTAGGGTGGGGTGGGGGCAGCGGCGGGGGGCAGTGGTGGTGTCGATGACGGCGACGGTGGTGGTTGTGGCGGCAGTGGTGATGCTGGTGATGGAGTAGTGGTGGTGGTAGGTCGGTGATTGTGGTAGTGGTGTTGTGTGTGTGTGTTTGTGGGTGTGTGTGTGTGTGTTATGGGGGTGGGTGTGGTGTGGGTGTGTATGGGGGGGGGGGGGGTAGGCTTGGGAGTGGGTGGGTGTGGGTAGGTAGGGGTGTGGTGGGTTGGGGGTGTTAACTTGGGGGTAGGTAGAGGTGGGTGGGGTGGGAGTGGGTGTGTTAAAATTTTAGAAAAAATTTGGAATTAGAAAAATGTGAGAAACAATGATTACCGATATTCAAAAAATTTCAAATTCTTTGTAATTTTAGAAAACGGAAAACCGTGAAAAATTTAGAAAAATAGATGAACTAAACGCATTTCCAAAATTCTCATTTTTCTTGGAAATTTTTTCTAGAAAACGGCTCATTTTTCCGCAACTAAACGCACCCTTAGTGTTTCCAAATGTAAATGCTAGAATACAATACATAAAGTAAAAACTGTTCCATCTTTTCGGGAAAGGTAATAAATGAAGCATCTTTCATCTTCTACTCATGGTAGATTTTAGTTATCCTTACTTTGTGTTTAACTGTAATGGCATTTTCAGGAAAATGTCAAGGAAAAGCATCC